ACACACACACAAAAAAAAAACCAACAAAAAAAACATTTTACTAAGCTTCCCAGGTGGTTCAGAAGTGCAGCTGGGTTTTAATCTTTTATCATTACCGGAAGATTTCATAGCACCTCATGATCATCATAATGCAGTGGCTTTTTTCTGGTTAGAGGTTATAGAGAAGTAAGTAGCTTCTTCTGGTCTGTAGTCTGCCATGAACACTTTATTGTGCAACTGCGAGGATGTCAGGGTGTCTAAGGGGAGAGGTATGCCTGAGGTCGTGGGGCATCAGAGAGCAGAGATGCTGAGGTCTGTTTGTGAGTGAATGTGTTGATTCAAGGAGGACTTGATTAGACCTCCACATCTCTGCCCAAGGCCCTGGGAACCTGTCTTAGGTGAGAATAGATGCCAGAGGCCTCGGTCGCTCCACCCTCCCCTCAACCTGGTCTTCTGCTTTAATGTCCATTTTCCTGTGTTCATGTCCTTGAGTTCTGAAGTGAACCCATTGTCACCACTAGTATGTGTGGTCACCTAGTGGGCACTGCTTCCTCTTTTGTAACGATCTTTTTCTTTATTAATTTATTTAATTTTTATTAGTTTCAGAGAGGAAGGGAGAGGGAGAGAGAGATAGAAACGTCAATGATGAGAGAGAATCATTGATCAGCTGCCTCCTATTGGGGGATCAAGCCCGCAACCCATCATGTGACCTGACCGGGAATCGAACCATGACCTCCTGGTTCATGGGTCAATGCTCAACCACTGAGACACACTGGCTAGGCTATATTTTTCTATTTGAGTTTTCTGAGCAATTGACTATCCTCTAATTAAGGCTTTTCATCCTATAATTGTAAATGTCTTCACTAGTTATTCCAAACTAGCATAGGTTCTAATCTTTCTAGTCTTGAAGACATACCATTATGAAAATTATGTAGAAGTTCTGAAAGGAGTAGTGTTACTAAAAACGAGGGGACAGATCCTACCTGTGATTTCACCCCAAATAGCAAATATAATTTTGAAGTATTCACTTCGTCTCTTTAAAAAGCAGTTTACATATTTGTAATCATAACAGATGAATTTGAATTTGTTTTCTTCACTGTCTTATATAAATGTACATTTAAAATGTAGCTACATAATTTTTATGCTTTTAATAACTTGAAATTATTTCATTGACAGGCTGTGTTATCATTCTCTTCTTTTTGGACTTACAGGTTGCTTCCACTTTTAAGGTGCTATAAATAACCCTGCCATTAAATCTTTTATTCATATAATTTTCTCCCATATTTTACATAACTTCCTTAGAATTCCAAAACTAAAATGGAATTCTAAAAATTACATTATTAAATTTAATAGACATTTTGATGACTATTGGACCATATTAACTGGTTCTTTTCCAAAAGTGTATAACACAACCCTTTTTAACCTTGACTTTTTGTGCTCTGCTACAGACAAAATCCACATCACAACTCTCCTCAGAGGTGGTTTTCTTTCCTTTTTAGGGCACCCAGTTTTCTGTTTCTTGTCTGAGGGATGCTTCTAATATTGACATTTACAATGCAGAGATAGCTGACGTATCCTGAAGATGTTAACTAAATAAACTAGTTCCCATTTCCAGGCACACCTGCTGCCTTCCACAGTGAATTATTATTAGTACAATGCTTGCACATAGTAGGTGCCCTACATGCTGAATAAAAAATGAATTAAAAAGTTAGCATGAACTCTGGATTCGAAAAGGAACTGAATTTTAATTCTGGTTCTGCCAGTCGCTAGCAAGGCGCATGTTATCTAACTCTCTGATGATACTAATCTTACCTGATAAATAAGGATAGTGATACTCTATCTATCTCATAAGGTCTTATGAATTATATGAGATCAGACATCAAAAAGGCTTAGCCTAGGCCAGTGGTTCTCAACCTGTGGGTCGCGACCCCTTTGGGGGTCGAACGACCCTTTACAGGGGTTGCCTAAGACCATCGGAAAACACATATATAATTACATATTGTTTTTGTGATTAATCACTATGCTTTAATTATGTTCAATTTGTAACAATGAAATTGGGGGTCACCACAATATGAGGAACTGTATTAAAGGGTCGCAGCATTAGGAAGGTTGAGAACTACTGGCCTAGGCCCTAAAACAGAGCAAATGTAGAGTAAAGGTTATTGCTATCAGCATTGTCATAACCATCACTGTCATTGTCGTAGCCAGCACTATATTGTCATCATTCAGATAGTTCTAGCACTGCCTTATAGAGGCTGTTTAGTCTTGGGAGAAGTCACTTTATCTTTCCAGGTCTCTGTTTCCTTACCTATGAAATAAAATAAAATAAAATGATTGAACCAGAAAGGGGCAGGCAGATAAGTTTCACTTTTAGTGCTAATCCTGATAAATTAATTAGTAGTGACTTTCTGGCAGAGAGCAGTGTGGCTGATGAGTGACGTCTGTTCCCAGGGTCAGGGTCAGGATCAGGCACTGATGGCATTCAGGGCTTGTATTTACCATATCTGAACTAGGTCCTCTCACTTACCTTCCACCTGGACAGTAGATGCCTAGCACACAGCAGGCTCCTCAATCGATCCTGTTACCTGGCTGACCTCTTGTCCCACTGCCATCCTCCTCCCGCCCTCCCTCCAATCCTTGCTATTTTTTTTTTTAATCCTCACTTGAGTTTTTTCCCATTGATTTTTTTAGAGAGTGGAAGGGAGGGAGGACGGGGAGAGAGAGAAACATTGATGTGAGACACATGGATTGGTTGCCTCCCACACAAACCGCCACTGTGTCGGGGAATCATGGTCTCTTATTTCTACTTAATATGAGACATTTGTCTGGATTGATAAAAGTAGAGCTCTTTGCTTTTTTTTTCTTTTAAGCTGTCTTTTAAAAAATCATCCCGTATAGAAAACGGTGTTTTTAAGTCTAGTTTCATGTTTAGAAATGAAGATATTTTGATAGGAATTTCTGAGGTATGATTGTAAATTAAAAGATGGCAACTGAAATTCTTAAGACTTGATATACAATAAAATATGTAATGGGTTTGGAGTGGCAAGGGGATAATATATATACACAGGGTGAGCAGAAGTAGGTTTACAGTTGTGAGTATGCTGTTGAAACAGTTTATTCTTGTATTATTATTTATTAATTACTAGAGGCCCGGTGCACAACATTTGTGCAGTGTGTGGGGGGGCCCCTTAGCCTGGCCTGCATCCTCACACAGTCCAGGAGCCCTTGGGGGTCCTTAGTGCTGCTGTGGAGGCTGGAGAGCTCCCGCCTCCACCACTGTGCTCACCAGCTGTGAGCCTGGCTTCTGGCTGAGTGGTGCTCCCCCTGAAGGAGCGCACTGACCACCAGGGAACAGCTCCTGCATTGAGCATCTGCCCCCTGGTGGTCAGTGCGCATCATAGCGACTGGTCCTTCTGCTGTTTGGTTGATTTGCATATTAGCCTTGTATTATAAAGGATTGTATTATTTAACATACAGGCAATTATAAACCTATTTTTGCCCCATGCTTTATATAGTAATTTTAAATGAGGTTACTTGGGATATGGAGAATATGAGTAAAAGACCTATTGCTGTGATTGAAGTTGGTTGATAGAGCTGAAGAGTTAGTTCACTTGGGATCCTTTCAATTTTCCTGAATTAAACAGAACATAGTCCTTCGGGAGTTATGAACATACAAGTACTCTGTTTTATTTCATCTTTGTTTCCCAGCATGATGTGTGGAGCATAGTAGGTTCAAAATAAATGTTGGCAGACTTGAATGCCTTGGTTTCCCTATAACTAGTTTCAGTCTCACATTACAGAAGAAATTTGTGTAGAGATAAAATTAAAAGTTAGGAAGTGCAGAGATTTTGTGCTTTCCCTCATTTCTATACAGTACTTCATCACATTAATCAGTTCCGTGGGAGAAATTTTCTATTTGAAAGTGCCTCTCATCATCATTGTGAGTGAAATGTCAGGGATAATGATGGGAAAATGGTGTATCAGCTCTACCACTAGTGATATGCAATTTGCAAAATTGTGTTTGCTTTACAGCGCTTCCATAGGAGGTTTATTTGTGTGGATGAAGCTATGAAATATGGATGTATGTTAGAGGTACATTAATTTATCCTAGCAGCATGCATTTTACATACCATATGTTTATAGTTAATTAGCACAACAAACCCGCATTTAAAAATAATAATAATCTCAATTAGGTTATGCAAAATGAAGCAATCAACCACCTTCCTGACACATATATTCTCCTACTCCTTGGGTAACTATAAAGAAATTGTTCTTTTTTTTCCTTTTCTCCCATCTGTTATCTATTATATTGCCTGGAATATTCCATTTGCTAGAAATCTTTGTAAGATTCTCTTGGGAAGAATTGTTTTTCTTTTGATGTTCAAAATATCTTTGTTGAATTTAATAAGGTGCCATATATTTATTGAGTACAAAGAGGAGTGCAATGAGGAAAATTATGAATTTAAATAATTTAAAAAGAAAACTGAAGTTACTATTTTAAGGTGATTTAGAAGTAAAATCTACTTTTATATCTTAGACTCTAATAGGTAACATATATTCATACACTTTTAAAATTGGAAAGAAATAGATGTAACGGAGGCTAACTTCCCAGCTTAATAATCCTCTCCACTAAATTCATGACAAGTAGTCATCTATCCTCACTTGAATGCGTTCAGTGAGCAAAGTCCTACAGTCTTACAAGTAAGGCAACTCAATTTATTGAATAGCTCTAATTGTTAGAAAATTTTCTCATATTGAGATAAAATATGCTCCCCATTAACTTCTTACTAGTAGTCCTGCTTCTGTTCTCAGAAGCAATAAGGGATAAGCCTAATTTCTATTCCACATGACACCCCTTCAGTTATAAGGTAGCTATCAGATCTTCCCAGTCTTCTCTTTTCTGAACAAACACCCCCAATATATTAAACTCTAAATCCTATTCATTTCCATTACTTTCATTGGAAATGAGCAGGTTTTACTAATGTCTCTCTTAAAATGTAGTGACTGAATGTGGGGCTTCAGATGTGATCTAACTTATCCTTGCAGTCGAGCTTGGTGCCAGCTTTTGCCCAGTTATGCCGGGCTGTGGACTCATCATACTGACAGCTAACAGAACCCCCAGGGCTGTTTCCATACTGCCCCTTGTTTAGCTGGGCCTCCTCATCCTGTACTTATTCTTCCTCACTGCTGAAGCTTGTTAATCAGTCTTCCTAAATTTGTCCACCTGTAAGTCCCGTAGGCATTGGCAGGGCCACTGAGAAAGCTTAGGACTCTACTTTTAAAGGTTTCGCTTTCCATTGTCATCAGTTCCTTGCAGTTTTGTGATTTGCTTATTAGTTAGATTGCAAGCCAGTTTGTAGTAAATACTTAAGAAAATTTTTATTTATATATATTTTTAATCATCACTCCAAGATTGATTTTTAGAGAGAGAGAAGGGGGAGAGAGAGAGAAATATTGATGTGAGACACAGCGATCAGTTGCCTCCCGTATGTGCCCTGACAGGGAATCAAACCCTCAACCTTTTGGTGTATGGGACGATGCTCCAATTAGCTGAACTACCTGGCCAGGGTTGTTGTAAATTTGTAAGTGTATTCTTGTTTAGAATCTAAACAATTCATTACAACTTATTTGAAAGTTGTGATCTACCATATCTGTACTAATAAAAGACAAACATGCAAATTGACCGTACCTTTGCTATGCCTTAGGCCACGCCCCCCAGCCAGTCAGAGCTACTATATGCAAATTAACCCAACCATGTGGCCACAGAGCTGGAGCGAGCAGGAGGCTTGGGTTGGCCCTGGCCATGGAGGAAGCCAAGCTTCCCGCCCACCCTGGCCGGCTCTGAGCTCCACTCAAGGCTACAAAGTTTCAATTATAGAAGGTAAATAAATCCCAGAATAAAAAAAGAAAAAAGAAAAAAAAGGAGAGGCTGGGAGCTTCCGTCACCAGGGGGCTTGGCCAGCCTGAAAACAGCCCTCAGCCCCTCACCCAGACTGGCCAGGCACCCCATGGGGATCCCCCACCCTAAAGGGGTGTGGCCAGCCTGCAAACAGCCATCAGCCCCTCACCCAGGCTGGCCAAACCTCCATGGGGTGAGGGTCCCCACTGGGAGGGTGGCTTGACCAGCCTGCAAACACCCATTAGCCCCTCACTCAGGCTGGCCAGGCACCCCAGTGGGACCCCCACCCTGATCCGGGACACCCTTCAGGGCAAACCAGCCGGCCTCCACCCATGCACCATGCCTCTATCCTATATAATAAAAGGGTAATATGCAAATTGACTCTAACAGCAGAACCACTGGGAATGACTGGTCACTGTGACACACACTGACCACCAGGGGGCAGACGCTCAATGAAGGAGCTGCCCCCTGGTGGTCAGTGCGCTCCCACAGGGGGAGCTCTGCTCAGCCACAAGCCAGGCTGATGGCTGCCAGCACAGTGGTGGTGGCAGGAGCCTCTTCCGCCTCCTCAGCAGCACTAAGGATGTCCGACTGCAGCTTAGGTCTGCTCCCTGCTGGTAAGTGGACATCCCCTGAGGGCTGCTGGGCTGCCTGCCAGAGGGATGTCTGACTGCCAGCTTGGGCCCGATCCCCCCCAGGGAGCGGGCCTAAGCCAGCAGGTGGACATCCTCTGAGGGGTCCCAGACTGCAAGAGGGCATAGGCCGGGCTGAGGGACCTCCTCGGGTGCACAAATTTTTGTGCACCGGGCCTCTAGTTTACCTCATAAAAATCTCATGGTATCCTGTGGATACTCTAAAGCACTGGTTCTCAAACTTTAGTGTGCAGGAGGGCTTCTTAAAAATACAGATTGTGGGTTTTACTAGATCCTAGGTGGGGCAAGAATTTGCATTCCTAACAAGATCCCAGGTAATTTTGCCCATCCAGACACCACCCTGAAAATTACTGATCTACAAAAAGATGGACTAAGTGGCCCGGTGGACCCATAGAAGGTTTAAATCAAACTGAAAATGTGTGTGGATAACAGAGAGGTTGGAGGAGGGACAGGATGAAGAAGCTAATAGAAATCATATTTGTTAGTTTCAGTTTACTTTCAAGATAATCAGCTTAAATTGAAAATTTAGTTAGGGATCTTGAGAAGAGCTAAATGTTTGAAGTAGTTATTATGGGGAAAACTGTAGTCAGGAATCTCTCTCTTCATTGCTGTCTGTCTCTATACCATATGCGAGGCCCTGAAATCAGTGTTTTACATACATTATCTCATTTAACCTTCACAATATGGCTTAGGTGAAAATTACACACACTGGCTTAAGGTCACATAACAAGTGAGCTGCAGAGCTGCTGTCTGGCCTCCAGATCTGTGCTCTGTCAAACAGAGAGTGATGGAGGGCCACACTGAGGCCATACTGAGAACTGGTGAGCTGAAAATGGACATGTGAATTTCACACACAAAATGAAAAGCCCCAACCAAGCTGGCACATCACTTCAAAGGTGGAATTTTTTTTAATGCCAAAAATGAAATTATTTTTAAAAAAATATATTTTATTGATTTTTTTACAGAGAGGAAGGGAGAGGGAAACATTAATGAGAGAGAAACATCGATCAGCTGCCTCCTGCACACTCCCTACTGGGGATGTGCCCGCAACCAAGGTACATGCCCTTGACCGGAATCGAACCTGGGACCCTTGAGTCCGCAGGCTGACGCTCTACCCACTGAGCCAAACTGGTTAGGGCTGAAATTATTTTTTAAAAATTGTTTTTTAATTACAGTTATTCAATGTTATTTTATATTAGAGGCCCAGTGCATGAAATTCCTGCATGGGTAGGGTCCCTAGGCCTGGCTGGCGATAAGGGCCGATCTGTGGGGTGATGGGTGGGGCAATCGGGGCCCCTGCTCGCACCCACCTTGGCCTGGTGCCGCCCGCTCACCTGCTCCACCATCTTGCTACAGTCCTCCTCTCGTCCGGGGGCCCATTGGGGCCGGCAGCACCTCCACTGCCACTTGCTGTCAGTGCTGCAACACTGACACCCGCCATGTTCTGCACTGCCCCCTGGTGGTCAGTGCACATCTAACTCCTGGTTGGTAGAACTCCCGCCTGTGGGGAAAATTTGCATATTAGCCTTTTATTATACAGGTTTAGTCTCAGGTGTACAGCATAATGGTTAGAGAATCATGTACTTTACATAGTGCCCCCGCCCCCCCCCCAATATTTCCCATACCTACCTGGCACTATACATAGTTATTACAGTACTAGAGCCCAGTGCACGAAATTCGTGCACTCACGGGGGGTAGGGAGGTTCCTTAGCCTGGATTTCCAGAGGGCGCAGGCCAGGCCGAGGGACTCCACTGGTGCACAATTGGGGCCAGGGAGGGACCGCAGGATGGCTTCAGGGCATGTCCAGCCCATCTCGCTCAGTCTCGATCAGCTGGACCCAAAGCTAACCTACCAGTCGGAGTGTCTGTCCCCTGGTGGTCAGTGCACATCATAGCGACTGGTCAACCGGTTGACTGCCCCCTGGTGTCAGTGCTCATCATAGCGAGCGGTTGAGCGGTCTTAGCATATCATTAGCATATTACACTTTGATTGGTTGAATGGCCGACCGGATGACTGGACACTTAGCATAGTAGGCTTTTATTCTACGGGATTATTGACTATACTAGAGGCCTGATGCACAAAATTCATGCAAGAGTAAGCCTTCCTTCCCCCAGCTGCTGGCACCGGCTTCCCTTGCAGCCCTAGCTTCGTCTGGAAGGTCGTCCGGAAGGATGTCCGGTCTAATTAGCATATTATGCTTTTATTATTATAGATTCCCTATGCTGTACTTTATGTCCCCATGACTATTTTGTGATTACCAATTTGTACTTCTTACAAAATCTAAATTCTTAATTACATAATAGCCTTTCTTATAAAGTCTATTGTATTGGATAAAGGATCAGAGTTGTTCTCAATGTTAGGCAATGTGAATTTGTCATAGCAAATTTTACTTTTGTTATAATGAAATTTCACTGCCATAGAGGCCTTCCTGAAGCTGCTCATTAGTAAGTAAGCTCTTGCTTTTAAGAATTTCTTATTAATAATTTAGTTTAACCTGTATCTTGGCATCAGCTTGTTCATTTATTGGTTAAAGAATCTTAAGGAATATTGACTCATTTGAGTAAATTTTCTTTTTCCATTTTTTTAAACTTTCTAGGTAGATTATGATAATCATGCACTTTATAAACATGGAAAGACAGGTCGGAAACAGTCTCCTGTGCGTATTTTCACCAATATTCCACCCAACAAAATAATTCTTCCTGTGGAAGAAGGGTATAGGTAAGATCATAGTGGGACCTTGAAATTCATGTCACTGAGTATCAGTTCCATATATCTAACATTAAAATGCTTTTAATATTGACTCATGTGGTTCTGTTACTTTTAACTGTGGCCCATAATTTTGTATTCAATTAAATTTGGATTACACCCAGTTTTAGTAATGAATGCCTTGCAAACTTTTATCTATTCTGTGAATCTCAATAAGTATATGCAGCTAATTTCTCCAAGTCTTTCTTTCCTCTGTAGGTTTTGCCCTCTGTGTCAACGATATGTTTCTCTAGAGAATCAACACTGTGAGCACTGTAATTCGTGCACATCCAAGGTATAAGTTTTTTTAGAATACATTTATTCACCTTTATTAGTTTTATTTAATAGTTTCATTACATTTGTTTGTTATTTTGTTAATGTAATTTGTGTTAATATCATTTATTAATTATACTTGAATACAGCATTTTATTTCTAATTATAAAATACAACAGGCTTTAAAAAAATACTTAGACAAATAAGAGAGTCCTGGAGCAGAGTAAGCCTGAAACATTGCTGGAGGCAGAAATGACAGAACTGAAGCTGCCTTACCTCAGGCACATCCTGAGAAGGCAGGGTCCTGTGGGAAAACAATAATGCTGGGAGAATGAGGCATCAGGAAAAGAGGAAGATCAACTATGAGATGGACTCGGTAAAGCAGCAGTCGCCAACTTTTCGGACCTCACGGACCACCAGTGGTCCACGGATCACCAGTTGGCCACCGCTGCTCCAAAGGTTTCCTTAAAGTTAAAGTAAGCCATAGGCATGAGTCCTTAGGAGATGAGCAGGGCTTTGAGGACAGGACATTGTAGACATCCCTCATTCATGGGGTCGCCAGGAGTGGAGCCAACTCCACAGCATGTCACACAGTTGACTTTGTCATCATAATAATTATTTGAAGTTTATATGGTACTGTATGGCTGCTAAAATTATTGCTGTTTAAAATAAGGCACTGAATTTTGTTAAGCATACAGAATTACGTTGTTTCAAATATGGCATTGAAGTATTAGATACCATCACTGTTCTGGTGAAGTTATAATTAATAACATGTCCTGGAGGAAGGACTCCATGGGACAGACTTCCTCTTTATTTTTTAGGAATCACCCTTGAGTTGCTCTGTTATTTTAAACTAGAGGCCCGATGCATGAAATTCGTGCAAGAGTAGGCCTTCCTTCCCCTGACTCCTGGCACCAGCTTCCCTCTGGCACCTGGGACCCGGGCTTCCCTCCGGCCGCTGGCAGGCACCTGGGACCCGGGCTTCCCTCGCAACACAGGCTTCGTCCAGAAGGTCGATCGGTCTAATTAACGTATTACGCTTTTATTATTATAGGTAAATCCACTCAGAAAAAACATGTGAAGTTTAGTTTGGCTGATAAGCACATAGTATTCTTCAAAGGAAAGAGGATATATATTTATAACTAATAGAAAGTACATTTTTCATAACTTTATAATTTTATTACTGGTTATACTAGTTTTTAATTTTGTTAACATACCTGATGCCATATATTTTCAATTCTTTTAGAAGTTATCTGTATTCTTCATCTTAAAAAATGATGCCCAGAGCGTAAAAGTGCAAAATGTGGAAAATAAAACTTTATTATAGAGACGCACACATAGTGGTAAACAAACAAAAGCAAGGAAGTGACCATCACAAAAGCCAGACGAGGTGTCACTACTCTGGGGAAGGGGGAAGCTGGGCTGGCAAGGGGCACGTGGGGAAGTGTCCAGGAGGCTGATGGTGTTCTGTTTCCTGACCTGTCGGGTTCATAAGTGGTTACTTTATATTATCATTAAACTGGACATTTGTGTCTTATGCACTTTTCTAGGTATGTTTTATTTCAGTTTTAAAATCACCCAAATAGTAATCTATCATCTCTATCTTTCTAAATTATATAGTTCTCAGATATGAATTTTATTAAGGATTATGCCAGTTCGACACATAAAAATTATGAATCATTAATTCTCTTGAAATTTTCATTGCGTCCTTCCTTCTGCAGATGGGGTTGCTTGATCTGGAGTGGACTTTCAAGATCATTTAGAGAAATCCCCCAGTTGTAGAGTTAAGGAAATTGGGGCACATCAACGAGACATTGAGTAGAGTGGAGATATGCATATGTTAAAATCAAAGTATGTAATTTTGAAGCTTAGGAAAGTGAGAAATAGGAATTAATAATTTACGCAGATTTTAATAAGACATTTTAATTTTTAATTGTGGGACTTGATTTTTAATGACAAATTAAATATAATTTTAAATTTGTTTTTGTAGGATGGCAGGAAATGGAACCATTGCTTTCTCTGCAAAAAGTGTGTAAAGCCTTGTAAGTATTTAGACTTAGTGTTTGAAATCCTGTGAAAACAGTTGAGTTTTTCTTCATCTAGATAGGATTTGTATGTAACTGCATTTATAAAAGAAAAAATCACTATAGAGACCTGTATTAACTTACTTGCTTTTTAATTTTTATAATTACCAAAGTGTATGTTCTCTACTTCATAGAAAGCCATAACTACTAACCTCTTTCTGTGTGCCATTGGATTTGGCTTGTTTTTATAGGGCTTTGTGTCATGCAGCCAGCCCCCGTGTGTCAGTGGCCCTAAGATCACATGGCTCACTAGAGAAGGACTAAATTCGTTGCTATGTCTCAGACAGAAGTTAGCTGATTTACAAGGGATTCCAGCCTCTTAACTTTGGGCTCTTTAGTGAAATTATAACCAGCTATGCAAACCTGTGACAGTAATTGAAGTAAACATTATTCATGCTTCCCTATCATAAAGGTTAATCAAATGAAAAATTACCTTAAATGAACCTCTTCTAAAACTCAATTTTTATTTTACAGCCTGGATCCACTGTAGCATTTGCAATCACTGTGCTCTTCCCGGTCATTGTTGCGAGGGCCCTAGAGACGGCTGCTTCATTTGCGGTGAATTAGATCACAAACGTAGTACTTGTCCTAACATCTCTGCAGCTACAAGAGTTAGCAAGTTAGTTGAATTCTTTTGTTTACTAGAAGAAAAATTTCATTGTGTGACTTATACAGAGTAATCCACAAAAGTGTGCAATAATTGGAAGATTCAAAAGTGCTAAAGTAATTGTTGTATTGTTTGCATGGATTGGGGAAGGAGGATATGAAGATGCGTCCAAGAGCTTAGAAATTTATAGGTAAGACAAGAAAATAACCAGAATATAAGGTAGAAAGTGACTAACTTTATATCTCCTGTGGTTAGTGTGAAATTATAATTTGTGGGGCAAGAGTTCAGGCTTTATTGAAGGATCTGCTGTTTAAGTCAGGACAGATTGGCTGTAGACACATGGTAGTGGGTAAGGCTGGAGCAGAATCTCAGATGCAGTGAAATGTATGATTCCACAGTGGACACACTGGAAGATGAAGTTATTTCTTTAAAGTAGATGAGACTTCAAAAAAAATATTTAGACATATTTTATATTTAAATATTTAAAGTTTAATTTTTACCTTTTTTCTGTTAATAATTTCCCTTCTCTCACCAATATTTGGTGTTGGTTATAACGCAGAGCAAAGTCATACCAATGACAATGGTATACTTAGAAAAACTATTGCTATTTCAACTGGGCTAACTTGAATGATTATACTTTTTTTTAAACTAAAAGGGATGATAGGTATTGAGTCCTCTTGTTTTATTGATATGAAGATCAGATAGCCACGTTTAACATTACACAAAAATTGAGATCAGGATCAAAGTTTGAGCTATCAGATGACTTGTAATTAAAAAAATATCTATTGCCCTGGCTGTGTAGCTCAGTTTGTTAAAGCATCATCCCATATACCAAAAGACTGCAGATTCAATTTCCAGTGAGGGCACATACCTAGGTTGCAGGTTCCATCCCCATTCGGGGCACGTGCAGGAGGCAACTGATCGATGTTTTCTCTCTCACATCAATGTTTCCCTCTCTCTATTCCTTCCTCTCTCTCTAAAATCAATAAAAATAGCCCAGCTGGCGTTGCTCAATGATTGTGTGTCTACCTATGAACCAGGAAGTCATGATTCAGTTCCTGGTCAGGGCACATGCCTGGGTTATGGGCTGGATCCCATGTGGGGCGTGCAGGAGGCAGCCAATCAATGATTTTCTCTCATCATTGATGTTTCTAACTCTCCCTCTCCCTTCCTCTCTGAAATCAATAAAAATATATTGTAAAAAATAATAATAAAATAAAATCAATAAAATCATGTCCTTGAGCAAGGATTAAAAAAAGAAAAAAGTTATCAATTAGTAATAGAAGTATCCAGTTCTTTGGTACCTATGATTATACTAGTGGCCCGGTACACGGATTCATGCACATTGAAAGGAAATTAATTAGAAGAAATATTTTAATATCACTCTTCGCCCTTTCTCTATAATAGAAGTGTCAACCAAATTCATGATCGACAATGACAGATCGGAACACATGCGTGTGATTGGCACCAGTGAGAGCTTTATATGTATTGCGCATGCACGAGTCAACTTAGCCTTTTAAATAAATAGAATAAACTTGCTTAATTAGACCTGCGTTCTGATTTAGCTAAACTTTTTCCAGCCCAATGAAGCACCCCAACTTCTCTTTCAGGTAATTGTCAGCAACAAGCAGTAAATATCAACACAAAGCAGATTACTGTAGATCACACAGGGAGAACAAAGGGTAAAATATTTAACTGCAGCAGTGTTTGACTATATTCTGCGCAGTGAGAAAATCTGATGTCATTTTCAAGGTCCACCATTTCTTCTTTTCAGTCGGGTCAAGGTTCTAAGCTTTCTAAATCTTGGTTTTCTGGCTAACGAAAAGAAAATAGGATTCTACCGAGTCTCCTATCGACCTACTTCAGGACTTCAGTGAGGATCAAATGAGATGAGGCATGGGAAAAGGCTTCACAGACATTTGGTTAAAGTATGAAATGTTTGCTCCTGGCTATAAAGCAAGTTGTGTACCTGGGCTGAAGAAACTGCAAGGAGGCTAGTCTCTAGAAAGAGGAAGCCAGGCGTTGCTACGTGAGGTCATTACCTGGCGCTCACAGCCACCATTTCCTGGCTGGGCTGGGTTGTGGGCCGAATTTTGCGCCATGGGGTCTCGGCAGCATCGGCTGCGATTTGGTGGGGTGTCACTCTGGTGTGCTGGCAGGGCCTGTGTCCCACTTGGGGGAAGCCGAGTGTTGCTTTGTCGAGGCCAGGTCCATGGTGCCATTTCTTTGTAAATGGCCAGTGTGCGTCACGGCAGCTACTGTGTTGAGCGTCTGCCCCCTGGTGGTCAGTGCACGTCATAGCGACTGGTTGGATGGTCGGAAGGACACAGCATATTAGCCTTTTTTATATATAGATTAGAGTTTTATTTATTGATTTGTCATTGGAAATTATTTTGTTCCATTACTTTCCAGCCATTTGAATTCTGCCTACTATTTAAACTGCCTTTTTTATCTTTACCAAATTTACTTTAAATAATGATTTCCACTAAGTGGATATGCTTTTCATTGATTCTAGAGAGAGGAGGAGAGAGGGAGAGGCAAAAATATCTATTGGTTGGCTCCCGTACGTGCCCCAACTGTGATTAAACTGCAATCTGGGTTTGGGCCCTGACTCCAAATCAAATCCTCGACCTTTCGGTACATGGGACAATGCTCCAACCGAGTCACACTGGCCAGGGCTGTAGTATTTTTTAAATTAGTTAAATAGGTGTACTGAAGAATTTTACAAAATATTTTTTCTTAGGAACCTTACAAAATAGAATACAGCCTAATGAACTATTGGTCTGGGATTGTTGCACTATTTACAGTGTAATTCTGGTTACAAACAGGAGTTAGTAACATGCTCAGCCTTTGATTCTGTGATCTTAGGATCCATGGAAACTGAATTTGCATTTTGGTACTATATTGCAGGCTCTTCATTGGTTCTAAAACAGCCCTGGCTAGTCTATTTGGTAGTAATACATTGTTTCCATTGAGAGAAACCATCTTGTATCTTCTAGTATTGCATTTTATCAAGTTTAATTCAAAGAGAAAATCCCTTAGGATGTAGTACTTTTCTCAGAGAAAACTGCTAACTGAACTCTTGTTAACAGTTATCTTAAGGTATTGCTTTAAAAAATTTTTATAATGAAATTGAAAATGCAAACCTTTTTTTGCAATAGAAAAAATAATTTTAATAGCCTTTTTAGCATAAATGGCATAAAATATCTTTTCATCTTACATATTTTATAGCTGCTCAAATTAATTGGCTTTCCCTTAGTACTAATTTTCCTTTGGTTGTGAATTAGAATGATGCTGGCTCCCTCTTGTGGTTAAAGCTCACTTTATCAGTTATATAAATACCTATAATTTAGAGGACAAATACTAGGTCAATTTAATTTTAAGGAAAAATAAGATAATTAATTGATTTATGCTTAATCACTTCATCACTGTTGAAAAAATTTATCTCTGGAAAGTTTTATTTATTCATATTACAAGTGAATGTTTTCTTTCTGTTCTTGTGTACTGTATTCTCTAGTGAAATCTGGTTCTTATAGGAGGATCAGCCAAAGAAAATTTGTTTAAATTTTACATACAGGCATGCATAGCTTCATTGACTTTGCCATTAAGAGGTTATACTTCATTAAATTTGCAAAATCATCACTTATCAGGACATCATCCTACTTTTAAAAAAATGGCTGGAGGGAAAGGAGATTTATATAACATGCACAAAACAGTAAAAAAATGATTGTTTTATTTGCTTTATAATCTGGTAGGATACCCCAGTCCATAGTGCAAAATCTATAAATATGGAAAAACTTAGTTGTCAAGCAAAATTCCAAGAATAATAGTCATGGAGCTAGTGATAATAGCTAATATTTATTTAGTGATTACTATATGCTTAGCCTTTTGCACACCTAAATAATTTATAGTAGAGTATGCCGTGTTAAGGTAATTAAGAGCACAGGTTCTAGAATCAAGCTCATTCTGCCACTTCCTCACTGGATATTTCATAGCCCAGGGGTGGGCAAACTTTTTGACTCGAGGGCCACAATGGGTTCTTAAACTGGACCGGAGGGCCGGAACAAAAGCATGGATGGAGTGTTTGTGTGAACTAATATAAATTCAAAGTAAACATCATTACATAAAAGGGTACGGTCTTTTTTTTTTTTAGTTTTATTCATTTCAAACGGGCCGGATCCGGCCCTCGGGCCGTAGTTTGCCCACGGCTGTCATAGCCTCAATTTCTCCCCCTAAAAAGTTGGGAAAGAAAGGGAAGGGTGATGTCTGCTTTGTCTCATTCTCTCAGCTTCTTTAAGTCAAAGATTATGCCCACTCATTTTTGTATTCCTAACACTTCGCATATATGCTGAATGAACAAAAAGTGAGGCCTGGCCGAAACCGGTTTGGCTCAGTGGATGGAGCGTCGGCTTGCGGACTGAAGGGTCCCAGGTTCGATTCCGGTCAGGGGCATGTGCCTGGGTTGCCGGCACATCCCCAGTGGGAGATGTGCAGGAGGCAGCTGATCGATGTTCCTCTCTCATCGATGTTTCTAACTCTCTATCTCTCTCCCTTCCTCTCTGTAGAAAATCAATAAAATATATTTAAAAAAAAAAAAAGTGAGGCCTGAATTTGGTTCATTGGGGAATTATATATAGTTCATGAAGTTTCTTTCACAGGTTTTGGTCCTGGGAAGATCAAGAATAAGCTTCTCCCTGGGGTTTGTTGTAGTTTAGGAGGATGAATCTAACAGTTGATGTTGCTGCGTAGCCATAGGAAGGTTCCAGTCTGCCAGGGCTGGCAGCCCCAGCTCCTCCGTGGTTCGTGATATGATTAATGGCATGATTCTGTTAGCTTGGAAAAAGAGAACGAACAGAGGCAATCTTTCTCAGCTATAGATTGCCTGTAAGTTAGTTCAGAGAGTACCAGAAACAAAGGATCTGTTTTTTTCTGGTGTGGTTTAGTGTTTTTAGAGGGTGAGTTCCAACTTGTTCATTTTGAAGCTAGTCTTCGAGAAGACGGAGACCGCAAATGTGGACATCCTGTATGGCACTTTTCAGGACTTTTAGATACCTACCAAGGCAAGGATATTAGCCGTAGGACTTAAAGATGAGCCTCTGTAAGTGTTGTCAGTTTTTTCTGTTGTGCTATTTCATTTTTTCACCTCTGCTAACTGCCAGAATTTATCTGTCCTTTTTCTGAAAAATGTAATTCAGGGATTTGGAGATTGAAGTGCTGAGTTGAGCAGTACAGATGTAAAAACATATATAAAAATGAAAAAGAAACCCCAGCCAAAAAACTCCCAACTCATTGGCTTAACTATTTACCTCTGTTGTGTGTTTGTCCTGAATAGATTGTTCTAAATCTGCAGTAACCATCTTTCAAGGAAATTTTTTCAAATAGTTTGCTTGGTCAGGCCTCTATCTCATTATTATGGTGTAGGATTCTGAGGATTTATGCTTATAATACAGTAAGTTCTTTCCCGTCTGTTTTCTTATTTGGTTAGCTAGTTAATTAAACTTCAATCTAATTATTCACTGTGCTCATTCTACAAAATAATTTAGCACCTTGTTTTTCAGAGCTGTCAGAAAGCAGAAGCAGAGAAAAAGTAATAAGATGAAAATGGAGACCACTAAAGGACAAGCAATGAATCATACATCTGTTACAAGGAAGAAGAAAAGGAGGGAAAGAGCCCTCAATATCTTTGCTCTTAAATGTCCAGTGACTTGAGAATAAGAAAGATTTATAGTCCAACCTTTGATGCCATTTTCTGAAAGTGCCATGCTGGACTTAAATTCTGTCACTTTCAAAGGTGTGCACCGTTCTAAGCGAGGTAATAGGCAGGTGGTATTTGCTGGTTATAGACCCGCAGCAGTGTCTCTGGAGACCTGGTAAGTTGTTCCATCCTTAGCTGGTTTACCAGCTCTGTCTCTCGGTGTCTTTTTTCTCGCTTTAACTCCCTTCCAATCATATTATTTTAGCCTCTTTTATCTGAAAAGTATGTGTACAGCATTCTTTTGCAGAATCAGAAGAAAATGAAAATCTGAGGTTTTGTTTACTACATTACATAAGAATATGTTAAGATAAATGTTTTAAATTAATGTTAACATATTGTACAATGGCTTAAACCCCACTTGTAAAGAGAAGTACAATTTTTTTCAGACAGAATCTGAAAATGATGGAAAGAATTTTGACAAAGGAAGTCTAAAGATATAAAGATTATAATTATGGTTACATTATTATTAAATATTTATTTTTAAGTACTTTTTGCAATTGTCCTTTGATGGAATAGAAGCACCTAAATGTTTGTTGAATGAATGAGGTATTTAGAATTAGGACTTGCTCCATCATCTCGTCTTTTAACCTAAGCAGTAAGTTTCTCTCTTTATATAAGGAGTGCAGAAGGCAGAATAGTTTGGTGATTCAATCTCCTTATTCCTTTTTTGACTAACACTTCCTGGCATTATATCCTTGGCCAGGTTATTCACTATTTATTTATTTATATATTTACATATTTATTTCCCTTCAAGATAGATATTATTAATATCCACTTTTTACAGTTGAAGACATTGATTCTTGGGTATCTAAAGTAATAGTCTCATACTTTGGAAAGTTGGTAAAAGTGGTTGACTTCAGACATAAACATGAGAATCTACCTCCCAGAGATTTTGCAGTTTACATTCACAGTGATGTAAAGAAATTAGATGAAAAATAGGACTGATCCTTAACAATAAAAAGAGACACAGTTACTAGGTCTTGGGAGAAATTTGAGACAAACTTCTGGGAAGTCTTGCATGAGTGGATAGGCTGACGCTCTATCCACTGAGCCAAGCTGGCTAGGGCCATTTATGCTTTTTTTGAGGTGCTTAGCTCATGCCTTGTATTAGAACACTTTGTGTACTTGTTTCCCTTGTAGTTTTAGCTCATGGGTGACAGGGGCCTGTGGGCATCACTTGTACTGTGCATATGGCGATGTCAGACACAGCTGACTGTGTGGCATGTGTGATCTCTTTATTCCTCCCTACAACCTTGGGAAGCATACGGCCAGGCTAACACATTCTTCACCCTTCAACTGGTAGCTGCTCATAAATACATATTGAGTGACTAGGAATGCCATTTAATATGCTGCTTTATGCCTCAGAACCCTAACTGCTACACGAGTAAGAAGCTAATATGCTCAGAGCTGCGTAGGTAAGGAACGCTTGCACAAAATGCAAAGGAAAATCCAATTTCACTGATTTGGTACAGTTTTAATTAGAACATTGGGGCATGGGTTAAATTACTTGAGGGTCAACTAAGAAGGGCATTGCAATCAATAAAGTGAAGATAAGATCTCTACTATTTGATTTCAGGCAATTCAGTATAAATGTTAACTCAGCAAAACTGAGGGAAAGTAAGCAAGCAGATCTCAGAGCTCTGAGAGGTGAGTTTTATCCCATTAGTGGGACAGTTGAGATTTTCACACTGTTTAGTTGCTGCAAAGCCCTGCAGACTGGAAGTGTAGCATCTGGTGGTCTCAGCCTGAATAGATAGGCCAGCTTCTTCATTTGCAAATTGGAGGTGAGGAGTGACAGAAAGCTAGAATAGCAGCCTAAGCATTCCACATGCTTAGAGGGCAAAGGAAACAAAGGTTCCTGCCTGTTAACGTTGCAATAGATGGGCCAGATAAATCTAAGAAAATGCAAAGCAACTCTCATCCTGCCACCCAGAAATCAGCACTGTCACAGCTTCTGCGTATGTTCTTCCAGGGATAGACTCTTGTATAAGTAGCTATACAGACAGGTGCTCTAAAATTTCTCCCACAACAATGAAATTGTAAATGCATATTATTGTGTGATACTCTTTTTTCATAAACATGTTGTTCTTTAATATGTATTGTATTTTTAAAAAAAACAACAACCCACAGTCTCCTATGATTGGACATCTACGTTGTTTGCATTTTTTTACTACTGTAAATGACCCTATGATGCACATACTTATAAGTCTTATTATCTTAGGGTAAATTCCTATATATACAAATACTGGTTCTGTAGCTCTTATTAGAACTTATTTTTCCAGGTGGGAGTCATATGAGTAGGTCTCTGAATTTCTTTTCCAGAACAGCAACTGAAAGGGTTGTGGGAGACAAGCAGAATATCATGAATTGATACCATTTAGACTCCCTGTGCCAGGATGGAACGTCTCCCAAATGCACTTCATACTTAAAGCTACTCTTTGAGTAGTTCTGTCATATTAAACATTGTTGACTGGTTGTTACGGCAGCATTTTCCACCTTCCCCATTGTATGCCTGTCATGGGATTTGGGGGAAGGATGACTGACATCCTTTCCAGCTCTTGGGGAGGGCTTTTTATTGGGCATAATTCCATCCTCCTTACTTGTGATTGATTCCCGCTAAGCTCGTGACAGGGGTTGGTCTAATCACTAGGCCCAGGACTTTAATCTTGTGATTGGTGAAGAGGTGTTTGTTCTCCCTCTGAATGAAGAAGCATGTAGCTCCAGGTGCTGTTAGCAGTCTTCCAGGGACCACAGGGGGAACCAGCCTTATGGCACACACCCTCAGCTGGGTCCCTGGTGTATCAACTGCTGGATCTAGCCTGGCCTGAAGCCGATTGGCCCTATTGCTGGACTTGCTATTTATTTGTACCAATACATTCTCATTATTACTTGTGCCACTATGAGTCAGGGTTTCTTTTTTTTTTTTATTGCCTAATGAATGAAACCGTAGTAGGACAGAGAGATTCTAACACTAACCTACATTTATTTCTCTTTCCAGCAAGTTTTGTCAATTTGCTTATTTTACGACTTCAAAATAGACCTCTCAAAGTAATAGCTTTCACATGGCCTACATTAGTCCCACCCCACACAATTCCATCTTCCATCCCTATGCTCAGTGATTCCCACATCTTGCTCAGGCCTTGACCTTTCCCCTTCCAACCTGCCATTGGCCACTACAGACTTTCACACCACGCCTCCACCTGATGTAGTCTTCACTGAACTCTTTTGCTCTGGTCCACTTTCTCCTCCTTCCCCTCATACCCGCACCCCTAACCCAACAACGACTCGTTTCTGTTCCCTGAATCTGTGCACCCAAATATCCCAACCTGTCTTGACTTTCATTCCCTCAATCTAATCAATAATCAGTGCTTGTTCTTCTACCTCAGAAATGTCTCTGGGATCTCCTCCCCACACCCAGCTTGTGTTCCTGCCACCTTTTCACCTCTTTGTAATGCAGCATGACCCTTGTCACAGAATTAAGATCCTGAATAAGCAAAGAACCAGTGCTGTCAAAATACATCCCCCTTCCCCAGTGAACGTGTTGGGAGCTGCCTGGCCCTTCAAAATTTCACCCCACATATAACACCTGGAAAGATGCCATCAGCATGAGCCCAAGCGATGTAGTGATCAAAGAAACAGCCTAGCTACCAAAAAGTTATTTCAAAAAAGCTAGTTCTTGCATTTTTTCCTCAAGCACTAGTAAGAGGATATGAAGAGCATGGAAATTCTTAAAGTGTATTTTCTCTTACGTTTCCTTCCTTCCTCCCCCCTCCACACTTTAACATCTCCTGCCATTGACTCCTTAAAAAAGCACTGATAACCGATCCCTGGGCTTTCCCCCTTGATTCTGTGCCACAGAAGTACAAATAAACCAATTTGCAACCAATGTTTTCATTAGAGAATGAGAAAGGCAAGGAAATGGAGTGGCTAAAGCCAAAATCTCCTTTATGGGGCAATGGGAAAAAGAAAAGGCTGGGAACACTGTTAATATAGCTCTTGTCCTTGGCTACTTTGGATAATTTCCAGTAATAACCCCTGCCCCCTACTCCCATCAGTACACAGGAGGCACTACTATGGCCACATACAATTATTTGCTGTTTCCTGGCCACATCCTGAACTCCACACCCATGCTGTGCCGTTTCCTGTGCCGTAATGCCTTCTGGGAAATTCACTCTTGTGTGAAGGCTTCATAATGTGCAGGTAGTTTCCTACTCTCCTATGTCCCGTAGCACTGAGTGCATCCCTCTACTAGTTCTTCTCATGCGTTTTATGAGGGTTCGTATTCAGGATAAGTTTCAGGAAAATGGGCATTCAGTTTCCATAGGAATGTTGAGATAGATATTGGACCCCCATCATCCAAATTATCCGTTCTTGCCATCCCAGAACATTAATACCTGAGAATGCATTTCATGAATAACAAAGGCAAGTCCATTCTCACCTTAGAAGTGGGAAACATGCTAAGTAAATTGTTTGGCAAGGAAAAAAGTCCATCTCTGAGCGGGAGCAGGATAAGTATTGAGTAGCTCAATTGGTTAGAGCTTCCACCCAATATGCTAAGGTTGTGGTTCCATCCTGGTCCAGAGCACATACAAGCACCAGCCAATGAATGCATCAAAACATGGAACAACAAATCGATGCTCCTCTCCTTTCCTTCTCTCTAAAAAGCAATCAAAATTTTTTTTTAAAAGGTGAAGACACTTAAGAACAGTGTCTGGCATAAAATAGTGCCTGGAATGTTTGTTTCTGCATGAATTAGTCTGCTCTATCACCCAATTCCCGCAAGGCTAGATCCAGATAGAGGGCAAGAAGATGGGGCTTGCTGAAAGTTGAAGATCTGCCACCTCTCTCCTTCCAACAGTAAAAGAAGTGAAAGGTAGGTAGGTGGTTTCTACCATAGATTTTTGAGTTCCAGAATCACAGGATAACACTGTCCCTTTCTCTTAGCCCAGTTTTAAGTGGGGGAGCTTCTGAACATTTAAATGTGTCCTGTATAAGGAAGCATCAGGTGGGTTCTGCAGAGCCCGTGCCCCGTGTGCATTCCTGTAGCCCAGAGTCTTCAGTCGATTCTCAAAAGGCTGTGGGGTAAGTCCTGGACGAGCCCCACAGCCCACGTTTATCATGGTGGGGTTCCTACTAGTAATAGGTTGTGAGGCTTAAATGGGATAAGGAATCAAGATAGTTGTCTATGTCAGAGATTTCAGACGCGGGCCCTTCCACCTTGGCTGCAACTTGGTAACACGGAGAGTTTTACTAAATACTGGGTCCCGTCCTGTATTCTCTCTTCACTGGCCTGGGGTGCTGCCTGGGCCCGGGAGGGTGTGTGTGTGTGTGTGTGTGTAAACTCTCTCCAGGAGCAGGGGTCGCCAACCGGTGGTCCGTCAGGTCGGAAAGGTTGGCGACCGCTGACCAGGTGATTCTACGGAGCAACCGGACCGAACACCCGTTTAGAAACGGTCGCAGGAGGCGCCAGCTGATCAGGACCTCAAGTTTGCGTGGTTTTCCCTCTCCTCCTCTTCATCTCTAAGGCCTCACACCCAGAAACCAGTAACTGTCCCTTCACCGACAGCAAGGAATTTCCCCGAAAACCGATAAGACCTGCGCACACTCGTGCACACACGAGCCTAGCCCACAGACCTGCCTGTGGTCTCGGCGCCGCGCCCCGGCCCGCGCTCTCCCGCCCTCTCCAG